CCAAAATTGCAAATCATGTAGCGCCAGTGGTAAGAAAAGTCTCTGTTACTTTTCCGATATTGTTCAGGCCTATTCCGTGTCCAAAGGCGCTGCACCAACACGAATCACCCTTAATGCTTTGGAGAGGTGCACTCCGGCTCTGACTGAAGTCCTGTATCTGGAGGAGGCTTTGAAGTGGGAGCCAAGCTGCTTTGAGTTACAGGTTTGAGTCCAGGGTCTTTACATCTAATACACCTCTGGGGGGGGGGGGGGGGGGGGCATGGTTGTTAAACACGGCGAGAAAGACTCCCACCTCCAACCTTCTCCGCCGGCTCAGGTACAGTTAATGCAAACAGGGACTAAAAGCTTTGTGAGTGTAATTACTTCAATGGTGAATGACAGACACATACAGCTACTTGAAAGAAGACTGGGTTGTTTCCATATATGTGGGTGTTTCAACAAAAAAAGAGTATTATTATTATTACTATTGAGCTTTATTTAACCTGAAAATTCCAACCAAGATGTCAGAAGTTCTTGTCCTGGACCCAGCAAGAGGGCGGGAGGGGTCCGGGAGGGTGTTACAGGAGACTATTGTACATGTTTTTAGTGGTAGGGGAAACCAGAGCACCCTGAGGACACCAATGCAGGGAGAACATGCAAACACCACACAGAAAGACCCCATCTGGTGGTGGAATTGAACCCTGGACCTTCATAATGTATGTTATTGGGCTGAAGTATGCACTGTTTAGCATTTATCTTTACATTTGTTGGCTGGTTTATCCCCGTGTCTGTATTTCATATGAATAGAATGAGTTATTAAAAAGCTCAAAAGGGTGAAGTATTATTTGAAACTTGTGCCATTGTCCAAATTTACAAAAAGAGCTTGAAAATGAGGTATATAAATGAGGTATTTCTGTAATGGGTAAGGTTTGACAAAGTGTCTTGGTGGCTGTGGAGGCAGTAACATTCAATAATAAAAAATAGATTTTACAAAACGGCAGAAAAACTGTGAAATCGCAACCAATGTATTCTTATTTAAATCAGCTAAGCTAACTAATACATCTGTTGCGTTAAAGAAGCATCAAAACCAGATATCAAGATTATGGAGCCAATAGACAGTAAATAATGAGACGGTTCAACATTTGTTTGAAGCTTTCTTCCAAAAACAGTGAGTAAATAAGTAAATTTTTCAAGTTACATCCTGCCAGTATGAAATTATGACATCCTCAAAATGCAGAATGTGAATGCAAACTATTGAATGGAAAAGGGGAGCTATCATAATATTGTCTGTTCACCAAGACTTCGACACAGGAGTAAAATCCTTTCAAATAGATTTTTATTTTGTGTATCTTTTTGCCCTATATTGTGACTGAAACCTAAACTGGGGTATTTAATTCAATGGTAATTTCTGTATTAAATAATCAGCACTTTCAGAAGAATACATTATTGGCCTACATTCTCAAGTAATGATTGAGTGTACCTTGAAAAAACAGCTACTCAATAGTCCCAAGAAGTGTCACAAATGAAATGCAAATCAGCTGCAATACAATCCTCAACATTAAGGCCAATGCTACATATGTCAGCAAAGTGGAAACATCGACAATTACAAAATCACTTCTAGAGAAAATCAAAGCCGTGTGGTGTGTAGCGTGGTTAGCACAACGCAATCCGTCTAAGCCTCCATTTGGTCAATTCTCATTTGGCCAAATCCAATTAGCATCGATCCTGCATGTGCTTAAAGCCGGGGTTTAGTTTTGGCCTTGATGGAGCAGGATTCGCACCAGTCTTATTTAACCCTCAGCTGAGTTTGCAGAGTTAAAAGCAGTGTAGGAATTGATTTGAAACTGCTGAGGGGTTTCCCAACACGAGCCAAAAAGCAGTCTCTACTCTTGAACTGAAAATAGACCTAACCTCCTTCTGCTACGGTGATATACTATGGTAATAAATGAAGAGGAAAAGATAGATATACAGTGGGGAAATTAGTATCTGAGGATTATTACCATTACTATTTAGAATTATTAATCTATTTCTGTTATACATTTATCCTATGGGGAATCAATAAAGTATCTATCTATCCAGGTACACTTCAACTGTGAGTAACCCAATGTGGAAAAAAAATAAGAAAATTGTTTTAAATATTGTACCAGTATAATGACAGAAAAGCATTATAGAAAGGTATTTGCCCAATAACCAAAAGTTCAAGTCAATGCTTGAACTTTTGTTAAATGCTTACTCTAATGTAATGTAGAAGTGTGAAAAAAATAATAAAAAAATCTGCAAATTTTTTGTTTGCTGATATATTGATATTGGCCAAAATCTTGTGCCCCATTTTCTTAGTTCTACTGTTAAATGATTGTACTGGAATTATTAAAACTCCCACTCCTGCTTTTTACTCGTGCACTATCTCTATTCGCATCACGTCTGCAAAACACTACCTCCTCTAAATTGGTACAAAGTCTTTACTGTGTCAATTACAGCCCATAATAGAAAGCCTCTCTATTCAAGCTTCATCTATTGCCAAATAACCTTGCTTTGATTGGGATTATTTCACACGGCCACATTTAATTTACTGTTTTGCTAATTAATACACTAGTGTCGCTAATGACAAATAAATTACCACTTGAGGGGGCTAGTACACAGATTGATTGAGATGTTATTGTCAATTTAGATCAAAATCAGTGTTTTTAATAATGCCTTTTTAACGGAGCAGACTGGCGTGATCCGCTTTGGGTCCTCGATGCTTGTGATGTTGATAATTAAGTGGTTTGCATAGCGCTCATGCTTGAATCTCCCTTTTAAAAGATGTTTACGATCTCTAAAGCAGCAAGATAAAGTCAACCTAAGGGTCTCATTCTTCTGCCTTTGAAAGCATTGCCTGCTAAACAAGCATTCAAAACACAGAGAGATCTTCAAAAACCAACACAGGCTGAAAAAAAGAAGAAGAAATATATTCATGAAAGGCCTCTCAATTAGCTCTTGCACTCATCTTTCCCTGGAACACAGTAATTTCTCAGTCGGCTGCTTCTTCATTTAAGAGGGAAAGAAATGGAGCCTTATCAAGCATTAATCGCTGCGTGTCAAATTTGTAGCCAAGAAGAAACAATCAAATACAACCAGGGAATTATCATCTTCTTGACTACGGACCAAGCACAATTCTTGGAAAATTAGCAAATTAGGAAGCGGTGAGTTTTCCAAATTCGTCAGCTTAAACTGGGGGGAAAAAATCTCTTATCGCCGTGGGACAAATTTTCAACGCTAAGCAACTTGCACAGTGGGAGGTTCACAAGATAAAAAATGAGATGTTAATGAGTACAGTGACAAACAATGTAATTTATGTGTAATAAGATAAATACTGACACATACTTAGGCCCGTCAGGATTAAAGGTAACCTAAATTGTATTTCATTTTTAGAATATTATGTATGTACAGTATCTCTCTGTACTATTATGGCTAGTAAGCAAAAATCATCAAAAATATATTTAAAAAAGTCATTACTTTTGAACGAATAAAGGTTCTCTTATAACTTTGATCAGTAAGATTTACAGGAGGAGAACAATTAAACCAATTTTGACCAATCAGGAAGCTGCATGGGTAGATCTAACTAGTATTTCAGTCTCTCTTAACTAACTCTTCACATATTCAGACAAATAATGGGATGAGTATCAAAATTGCTAGTTACCATGGTTTATTTTGAGCTGTGGTAATGCAAAACATTTTTTTTTTTTGTCTTTTTATATCCATCCCCTAGAAAGTACTACCTACATTTTTGTTGCTGTTCCAAATCTTAATCCATCCATTCCATCCATTTTCTACCCTTTAATCCATTTCTGGGTCAGGGGGGTGGCAATCAGAGATGCCACCCAAGTCTCATAGCACCAGCCCCTCACTGATCCTCTGCAGGTGGTGAGTCCACAGGAGGACGGCTGCTCTGAGTGTGAGCATAGCCTTGATCTTTCAGTGGGGGCTTTGGGCAAAGTGGGGTTAAGTGTCTTGCCCAAGGACACAACGACAGCAGTCATCAGTGGGAGTTGGTGGAGAACATGTAGAGGTGGGAATTGAACCCACGACCTTCAGACTAATCTTAATCCAAATATAATAATTGGTTAACTAATGACTCCATCGGTCAATTAAGTAAAAGGTCTACAGTCCCCTTCATACTCCCATTAACGAAGTTATTCTATTGATATAATGAATTGTATGTGTTTCCTACATTCTCTCACACATTTCAAAGTTGTAGGCAAAATATGCAGTAAAACAAAACATGGAGCATTGCCCATGTTTTTCTTACAAACACACATTTCTGGGGCCGGCTTATTAACAGCTACTGTGACACTGATGCTTCGTATGTGTACCTAGGAGCGGCTCTCATGGTTTAATTTGTTGAGACAAACTAATTGCAAGTACTTGTAATTCGTGTTTAATGAATGTTTGATTTGTCTGAGGAAATTAGTTTGACCAGATAACGCCGCAAATATTACAAACGCTCCCCCCTGTGCTCACATGGGCCGGTTTAACACATTAGAACCAGCTCAGTGTGGAAACTGTTGGGGTTGAAAGTCACTTTAGAAGAATGTAGCTAATCCAATAGGCTTTACTTATAAGTTCTGTATAAATAATAAGCAAGCTAAAAAGGCCAAATTTGCTACAGACCAAAATAACCCCATATCAACAAAAGATTACACAAGCAAAGATGATTCACTTAGCGATTTGATGTTTTACAAAAGGATTACCCAGTAATGTTTAAATATCTCCTTAGATCATTAAATACTATTCAATTACAGATGTAGCAACTATTGTCTCATTCTGAATCCAACAATCAAAAACACTGCATGGCAAAGTTTTCAGTTACAAAGAGAAGTTTAGGGACTACTCATACTACGTGAACCCAGGGGATGTTTAGAACAGGAAGGTTTTGAAGCCTGGTGAGGTCATTGAATCAAAGTTTCGGACTACGTTTTTTGTTTAAGATGGACAGAGGAACAGAAAAGCCCATAACAGCGTAAATACAGACTAACACCAACCTGAGCGATCTTCACAGAGTTCTGTGTGGAACCTCCCGCATGGTACTCCACTTTGTTCCTCTGCACGATCTCATCAAACCTGTAAAACAAAACAATAGATACTCTTTAAAATAGTTACTTATAATGAAAATGAATCTGGTAATCTGCAACTATGCAACTAATTAGGATTTATAATTTGTTAGTGCCATATGAACCAACTCTGACCCTGAGGAGCACAGGGACTGGCCTCCTGGTTGGACTCTGAGGAGCACAGGGACTGGCATCCTGGTTGGACTCTGAGGAGCACAGGGACTGGCATCCTGGTTGGACTCTGAGGAGCACAGGGACTGGCCTCCTGGTTGGACTCTGAGGAGCACAGGGACTGGCCTCCTGGTTGGACTCTGAGGAGCACAGGGACTGGCCTCCTCCCGGTGCCCGGAGTCAGGACTAAACATGGAAAGGCTTTATGCGTTTCAAATGTATTCAGCTAAAATCTGAAAAAGTCTTCCTGAAAATAACAGGAAGACTTTCAAACATACAGGACATAAAGAAGGTGTAATTACAATTTGGTCAGAAACATTCCAATATGATATTTTGACAAAATCGTGCAGTCCTACTATCCACATAACTTCCTTCCCATCATTCTTCCCTCTACATTCCTACATGCCTCAGGACAATATAAAACTAAACTATCATTTACTGACGACTATGCTTGTCTATCAATGCAGGCAATAAGTGGATTGTAGCCATTTGCGCCATACATCGCTTGAAATGGCTTTTTTGTTGCCTCCATGTTCAGACTGAGGGCCATGTCTCGTGTAGCTCCGCGGAGAGGACATCCCTGGGGCCTTCTTTATAACCATGAGTGAAAGTGATTGACCCACGCTGCATAGGAGCTCAATCTAACCACAGTGCTGTCTCTGGGTCCTGAGAGATGGCTGTGATAGAGTAAACAGACGGAGAGGAATTACACGATCCCCCATGGCAGATGTAATTCAATATTTATGTGATGAAGATAGAGGTTAACTGAGCGTGTGTATCTTATACTTATGCTACATGCATTATTCTAACATGTATTTGAGACGGTGACAAGGACAAGTGGGCAGGGAGAATGGCATTAATAACTTGTTTTGATGCTCTAGGGTTATCAACACTTTGGTCATTCGTCATCTGCCTCTTATGGACCAGTACCAATGTGTTTTCTGTTTTATTTCTTGTGATTTAGGGCTATAAAAAGAATACATTGAATTGAATTGAATTGAGTCGGAGGATGGGTGCAGATACAAGTCTATAGGGAGTCTATAGATTTTTGAAAGAAATGTTAGAAAAGAAAATGTCCAAAGGTTTTTTTCAGATCAATATTCGTTGATAATTAGACTCACAAACCCACCGTATTATTTTTATGTCTGAAAGTTCTATCTACTGGCCAGCATCAAATAATGTCACCACTTGTAGACATCTATGTGTAAAAATAATGAGACCATAGTTGATACTGTATGTGCTGACAAAGAAGATGTTGAAGTTTGTAATTCAGTTTTTTTTTTTCATGTGGATTGGCCCAGGCCCAGAGAAATATTCTCTAAACGAAAGCTAGAAATAGGAATTTTGACTGTTGCCATAGTCACCGAGAAGGATTTTTCAGATGTCATCCACCATAATTTTTAACTGTAAGCTATTATGAATGTTGGGGTCGTCACATGAACGCAACCGAAACAAATAGTAAGTAGGAGCTCCGGTGTGTACTATCTTCTCTGTCTGGTGCACAGTGGGGTAGTCTTGCACAGTTTTTCCAATGTGGTTTTACTGCAAACGGCAAATAAATTCTTGAATCTTGATATAACAACAAAGACATGATATAAAATAATTGATTTTTTTAAACCAGCGTCAAATTTGTAAAACAGACTGATGGCTCTTCTATGAAACTTTAGATATGAGACAGAAGAAAAATGTGTCAGGAAACTTTTTTGGGAAGCTGTATAGAAAGTGTCCTGTATTCAAGAGAACCTGAAGCCATGAAAAGTTAAGAACATGAATTAACATCTATGGACATTTATTCATTTAATTATGGACATTGGTGATTGCATCTGTATAGTAGAGTTATTGCATTCCTTGACAAATTTGTTCACAATTTTACATCAATCAATGCAAAGTTCACACATGTACTTTTCCCTCGCGCCTCCTTTGTCCGGAGTCTGTGTCTGGGAATGTATTTTTCCGCCGTAACACATTTTTCCAGAGTGTTTTTTTTATTGCACGGTGGACGATCCCTTTCGCCTGGAGCCGTGATGCAGACAGACTTTGAAGCTGCAAAAGGTTACACTACACACTCACTCATGTCGGACACTTTACATGCAGAGAAGGGCTTTGTAGTGGAAATAGGGCGCAGTACACACAACGCTCTCTTCAACTTTAGCATCAAATCAGCCAACAAACGGGGCCCCCGTTTGATGGCTTTAAATGTTACTGCGGCCCAAAAATGGCAGAAATAAATTGGACCTTTGAGCTCTAAGTCACTTGAAAAGGAGGTGTTATATGGGGATAAAAAAATTGTGTCCCCCGACTCCCTAAGCTTAGGTTACAATTACGACTTGAGTCCAGGTTAACCATGGTGTTGGCAAATATGTACCAAGATTATATATTTATATTGATATTTCCTGCACTGCCACAATCTGAGTGTGTCATTTCCACTTTGTCCTTTTGTTTGTGCTTCAGGGTTATTATTTTTAACTAGGACAAAACATGCTTTTGAGACGAGTGGCTCTTGCGTCTAAAACTTCAGCGTCATAGGTGTTTTTTACTTTCCTTACTTCCTTTGTTTTGTGTAACATTTGCTCAACATTGTGCTTAGTTCAAAACATGATCAAATAAATAAATACAATACTAGTCCAGCTCCAGTTTATTTATAAAGCATTCATAAAAACAAGGTTGACCAAAGTGCTGTACATAAAAGGACAAAATCATACTACATTATAATACGTTAGTACTTTGTATAGTATGCAACAGTATCTTTTTTGATCTTAAGCCTGGTTCACACGAGACGATTTTAAAATTGTCGGCCGATTTTTTCTCTGTGTGAGACCTCACACACGGAGATAAAAAATCATGGGTCTAACCACTTTGGTCGTACAGTGTGCGGTGCGCACAAGGCAAAATCACGCAAACCACACACATCACACACGAACCGATTTCATGGCAGCGATAGTTTGTTTTTATCTGAGAAAAGACGTAATCAAAAGAAAAGGCGATGGTCAAAGAAGTATAGACAACACGAGCATGGACTATACTTGCTACATCGTGATATGGAGGAGAGTTGTTTTTTTAAGGCGTTTCCTCGCCGCCTCATCTCGTCTTCTGATTGGCTACACGCCACAGTCATGGCAACACGCTCGTCTGTCCTCGGGGGACACCACACACGAAGAGAAATCGGGCCAAAACAATCCAACATGTTGGATATCCCCGATATTGAGATCGGAGCAGTCCCGAAGTCCTTCCGAGCGACGAGCGCAGTCTTAAGACACCACACACGGCAGGAAAATCCATCAGATTTTTTGTTACGATATTGTGAGATTTCATAACACTTTTAAGCAACTTTTGTTAAGGTTAAACTCATCATTCTATCAATGTGCAGAAGCCAGTACTTTTCCCTTGTTTTGTCTATCTGAAGGCCAAGCTACATGGCACCGTGGAAGCTGCTGATTGGAGGTCTCCATGCCTCCGCTCTGTATAATACACTTGCATTCTCTTGTATCTGTGATCGTGTGCTTTGATCGTGCTGTCTCTACCATCGACAATAAAACATGTCTTCTGTCTGAATTTAAGACGCGATCCCAGACTATGTCATCTTCTTCAATATTCGGAGCGTTCTTACGATTGCCGTAGGGGTAAATCGGGTCCAAAATCGGCCTAATTATCCTGCCGTATGAACCAGGCTTTATTTAGCGACAATGACAATTAGGATTAAGATGAAAAGATTATTTATTTGTCCCACAGTGGGGAAATGTCAGTGTTGCATCACAAGTTTTACAACAGTGGGAATGAGGAGCACACAGCACAATAGCTATACTAATAAAAACAAAAATAAATTTCCAGCTCCAGCATCAAAAAACAAGTATAAAATCTCTATCTAGTATTACGCACGGTGTATTCTAGTGCAAGCAATATGTAGTTATATGCTAGCATCTGCTTCAACAAATTAGACCCAACACACCGAGACATAAGCAAAAGAAATACAAAAAAAACAAAGGATTTTCACATTCAATTTTCACGCCAAAAAATAAACACACTACTTTTCCTCGAGTGCACTATTTCTGACCTTCTTCCACCACTGTCAAGACTTTCAAGATTCGATGAAACATTTACTTTCCATTAGAATCTCTAGGTATGAATTCTTTCACAGCACCTATACGTCCAGCGATGAAAACCTTTCGCGTATCAAAGTGAGACATTTCGACCAAAAAGATCCAGACAGAATCATAAATATTTGACATTGTTCATTGTTGGATTGCTGAACAGTGTGCAAATCCCCCCGCACCACCCTCACCGCCCTCCCAGCAGCTGCCTTAAACCCTCTGCAGCCTCTGAAACGAGATGTGACGCGAGCGAGGCTTCCTTTTAGGGAGCAAAAAATCCATCTGCATCCAGTGCGCGGAGAGGAACAGACAGCTTTGTACACAATGTCCTGGACCGGTAACCCTTTTAAACCCGCTGTCTCGTTTTGACCCTCCAAGCAATGCCAACTATGCGGCGCACACCACTAATGCGATGTGTGTGAGTTATGTAAGCGGAGGGGGGGAAAAAAAAGGCAGGAACAAGACAGAGAGAGGCTATTAATAAATGCAAAAGGTGTTGGTTTGCCATTTTGTGAACTTGAATCTAATGGAAGGAGGTGGTTCGCTCTGCTTGGCCGAGATTTTAAAAGCTGGGAAGCCTGATTTTCACTTGAGGACAAAGCAGGTACACTGCCAAAAGTGATAAAATATGAGGTAATAAATGCTTAAATCCAGTGGTTTTCATAAGATCTGAAAAGAAGCTCACAGTTGGATCTTCACTGAGCAGTTAATAAAGTCCCACAGTGTCATAAAATAAACTTTTATGGGTGGT